GATTGAAAGTACCCGTCAATTTCATCTTCTGCAGCCCTGATCCCCTGCAGAACTGCTCACCTTTGCCTGGAGTTCCCTCACCTGCCCCTCCAGAGCCTCAATCTGGGCACATGTGGGACAGGTGAGGGGACTCCCAACCCCCACGCTACCCCCAGTCTTCAGAGGTCCTGCCAGGCAAGCCCTGCAGACCAGGGGGCAGGGCACTGCGGACTCATCTGAGGGCCCTGTCTGGGCGAAAGCCTCACAGGAGCTCTGGGCCAGAGACAGCAGCAAGGCAGGGTCCCTGGCTGCACTCTGTATCACCACCCTGATAGTAACCCTCCTCTTCATTCACTCACCTGAAATCTCCATCAGAAGCTCCTGACGTGTGGAGTCTCGGGCCTCTCCTGCTCTCCCTCCTGCACAGACTTCTACACAAACTCTGGCATGCCCCTGAAGAGTGTGCCTGTTTGCCTGGCCTGTTCATGCAGCTCCCACTCAGCTCAGCTATATGGGGATGGGAGGGTGAAAAAAAACCCCTTCCTGATCCCCTACAGCTGGCCCAGTTCCTCTTTTATAAAGGAGTTGTGATACATCTACCTAGTCATGGGTGAATTTACTGAAGGTCAGTGCAGCACACTGTACTTCAATCCATAGGCAGATGGGGGCAAGTCATGGTTAGAGCCCCCAGGCTAGTGGGGAACACCAGGAAGCCAGGCAAGGAGCAGATGCACAAATTTGGGGGGCAGGTACCTGCCCACTGCCACAGTCCCTGGCTGACCCAAGTTTCTGCCCCGGTCTGTTCCAGCTGGGGCTGTGGAGGGTGGCTGTGCAGGGTGCTGTACTTAGCTGGAAATATCAGCGGTGGCATGCAGGTTCCTCCTGCCAGTGCCTGCACTATGACCCTTATCCCCCATCCATGCCCCCCATTGCCACCCCCACAAGTGTCCACCACTGGCTGGAAGCACGCCCTGGCCAAGCCCAGCTTCCCACACGGCTGCTCTCTGTAGTCTACAGGTGGAGCGGAGCAGGACCTGCTCTAGGGCTCTGCCTGTGCCTGTGTCAGCTGGGAACAGCAGCTATGGTGGGCAGGCTCCTCCTATTGGTGCCTGCTCCTGGCCAGCAGGGATCATGGTTGGGGAGCAGCAGGAAGTAGGTGCAGGAAGAGGAAACTTGCCCACTGCTGCCATTATCCCCAACCAAGCCTGGCACCCACACAGGCCCAACTCACAGCCAGAGCAGGGCAAGAGCAGCTCTGGGGCTCCCATGAACCTGGGTCATTTTGGGGACAGTGGGAATCAAAGGAGGGTAAGACTACCTGCGGCACCCCCTACTGTATCTAGCATATGGCCTATCATCCCTATAATGTCTGACAGCTTAATATTGATCAATGCATCCTTGCACCACCACTGTGAGGTAGGGAAGTGCTGTTATCTTCAGTTCTGCTTTTCCAGGAAAATTTTGAGTAATGCAGTGATTGATGGGACTTGCCCAACATCATGCAGGAAGTCTGTGACAAAGCCAGGAGGATTTCAGTTGACTTACTTGCAATTTCATGTCTTAACTCTAAGATGAACCTTACTTTGGGGAAAGAGAAAGGGATAAAAGAGAGGAAGGAACATTAAACCTCATGAAAAACTATTTATATATCTAAAGATGGTGAGAAAATTATGTAAAAGTAGAGTTAATCACTAGTAAAAAGTTTTGACTTAACTAGACTCTGTTTTAATGAAAAATATAGTTGAAATTTAAATTTGTCTGTATGAGGTCAACCTGTGAGTACTTCTGATGCAAATAGCATAGCCTGTGTATGGACATGAGTTAAACTCCTCTAATTAAATATGGGGGGTCTTACTATTACATATGTGCTAAATGGGGAAAGCTGTTCACTAGCTCATTTTGTCCTTACCTGTTCTGCTAATAAGGTCGCTGGTCGTGATAAAAGTGGAAATGACAGGATATTGATATTGATCAGGTTTGTAGCAGTGTCCTCCATGCATAAGGCAGATTAATGCACAGGCCAGCTAAGCATGAGCTGAGGAGCCCCTACCAATTCCAGGCCCTGGGATCCTCCTCAGCAGGGAAGTGAAAGCAGGGTTTTAAACTGGCCACGGGGTTTTAAAACCCCAACTCTCACACTTATTTCCCTGCTGTAGCTGGGAGCAGGGTCCCTCCCCCAATAGGGCTGGGGTGTTGGGGGGTGGAGCAGGCTGGGAATGCCACGCAGCATCACCCGCCTGCAGAGGTGCTGCATGGTGCTCCTGGCCTGAGCCAGCCCGGCCCCATGCATGCGCGTAGCAGCATGAAAACAGCGGGGCAGCAGCTCCCCACTGGTCAGTGCAACAGAGCCGGTGGGGAGCCAGACGGAGTAGCTGGCTTGTAGGGGGGGACAAGGGAGGAGGAGGGGACTGCCTCAGAGTGATTGAGAGTGGGGGAGTGGGAGGTCCTGTGGGGAGAGAGTGTGTGTGTGTGCACACGTGTGTCTGCTTGTATCTGTGCATCTGTGTGTGTGCATGTGTGTATGCATGCATTCACATATATCTGTTTATTGCAGGGAGAGTGTGTTTGTGTCTGTGTGTCCGCGTGCAGAGAGGGAGGGAGAGTAAAGTGCATGCCCGTGTGTGTGTGTGTGTCTGCATGCGCGTGTGTTTGGCCGTAGCTGGGGAAGGGGAGTGGGGAGCAGGGAGAAGAGGGGCATGTGTCCCCCCACCAGGAGGGGAAGGGCCCCCCCCTGCAGCCCAACTCCCATGGGGAGGGGGGGCTTCCAATTTTGTGTGTGCCCAGGGCCCCAGTACATCTTAATCTGCCCCTGCAGCTCCATGAGCCCAGCAGAGATTGATGATAACCTCAACACAAGCAATCTCCTATGGATTTTTATAAAGGTATAATCTTTATAGCACATGTCCTTTTTCTCATCTAAAACATAAAGTCTGATTTTACTTGGCAAACAAGAATACAGTTCGGGGAAGTTTTTACTTTTCTTCACAATTTCACTACTTCCATTGTTTAAATTAGAACAGACATAACAGATCAGCTTAATGCCAAGCACGTGGCAAAAAGCTGCTCTAGTTCCGCCCTACCTTACTGGGCACAATCACATTCAGTTATGTACCCAGTGTTAAAAATTTCATGTGGTGGTGGCCACAGACTATACAGATAAAGGAAACAGCAAATCAATGTCAAGTTTGCCAACACAGGCTCACATGCCTAACCATTGCATCCTGGGGAGTGGTCAACTACCTCATGACAGCAAATTCATATAGGTTATAGATTTTTATTTTTAGGTCATATGTTTTGGATTGGATTAGCTGCCCTTTATAAATACTTTGAGTGTTCTGTGTGAAAAGGGTTGCTGGCAGAGTGGTTAAGGTGTTTTGCTATTGCTCTTAGGGTATGATATCAAGTCTTGCCCTGAGTTTGTGCTGAGTGGTCCACCTGTAAATTGGCTCTTGGTGATGGAATAGCTATTGGCTATAGAAACTGGTGTGCCTTAACCATCTCGAATCTTGAAAAGTGGGGTGCGGATGGTGAGGTGCATCATTACATATAAAAACACATATATTTTCTCCAGTTAAAGACAAACTAGAAACTTTACTAATATGCTAGGGGACTAGGGCTGTATTACTGAGTTTTAGATTGAAGCAACACAGTCCAATGAAGTTATATTTGTTTTTAAGAACAGTATGCAGGGCTGTGAAATAAGAGCTTCATTACCAGGAGCAGCTAACAGAGCAGAATTACAGTACAAAGGATGGCTTGATTGATGGAACATCAAGACCATTAAACAGAAGAGATGGGCATTAATACTTGTGGAATGAAGAGATTAGAAGAGATCAGGTAGATTATAATGAGCCATGAAGTCAAGCGATTCCCTGTGACTGGCTGCCACAGATCAGGAGGGTATGGCTGCTGATTTTGAGTTATTTTTGTGATATTTCTAATGCATCAACCAGTGAGAAATCATTAACCACCTTTCAGACTTAATTTGAAGCAAGCTGTACATCATGGATAACCATTTTGATAGTAACACCCATCTCATTTCTTTTGTGTCCTTTCACATGAAGGGAGGAGAGGATATAGTGCAAGGGTGTCAAGTTCATTTGGTCTCATGAGCTAGATCCAAACTGGGGGCTGAATGACCCACAAGTGGTGTGTTATTCCCCTTGCCTGCCTGCCAGAGGCCACTGTTTCAGCATGGCTTCAGGACCCACAAAGTTCACGTTGCTGATGATCACCTCCCTTTTCTCCTACTGCTAATTGTAGGTCACCAGGCATGACTGAAAACCTTAATTTTGATGGCAGGGGAGGGGGAGACCAGCGGTGTCAACTCCCTGGGTTCCAGAGCTGCACCGGGTAACCCTGTCACAGCCACAGCACTGTGGGCCAGTCCAGCCTGAGACCTGTGTGTTTGACATGCCTGGGATAGTGGAGGAGAACTGTGTAACAAGTCTTTTATGGAAGTCTGGTAGCAGGCCTCTCTGTCTTGTGCTGCCACCACAGCAGCTTGCACACCTGTAGCTAAGCCTGTCGAGATCCATGTCATTTCTACATATTAATAGTAAGGGTGCTAGAGAGCAACAGGTGCTCCCTCCAGTCGAGATCCCCTATGCAATACCCTCCTTGTCTCTCCCTCCTGCCTTACAAGCCAAGTTGGGAGAGTCGCAGTTATTACCTCCCTTATTAATTGGTCTAATAAAAGATATGGGATTTACCTAAAGAACCTCTGTCATTGCACCCTTTGCATTCATGTCTCTGTGCTCTCACCAGCGTCCACCTCGCTGGCTCCGTGCCAGTGCCCGGGTAGAAAGGCGTCTATTCCCCGGTGCCGTCTGCTCCGTCCGAGCAGTGCCCGGGGGCGGCGCGGCTTGCACACTTGTCCGCACGGGCCGCGGTTTCGATTGCCATAGAGAGAACGTGGTGCACCGAACACCAGAGACTCTTGCTGTGACGTCACTGGAGGGGGCGGTCCCGATTGGAGCAGAGGGCAGGAGGTGCCCCGAAGGCGGCGCCCGATTGGCTGCAGCCGGGGGTGGCTTTTCTTCGTTGCTGCGTTCTGTAAATAGCGCTGGGGGGCAGCGCCGCCGCCCTTACGTAACCGGCCCCGGCCCCGCGCCCGCGCCCGCGCAGGTAGGTGCGTAGCCGGCCGCCGCCGCCGCCTCCCCATGGGGCCGGGCTCTAGACCCGCTTGCCCGCAGCCCGGGCACGTGGGAGCCGGGGGGATCGGGCCGCCTGGCCCTGCGG